CAGGTGGCCAGGACTGGGTCAGGATGTGGATCAGCAGATATGAGATACATGTGAGTAACAGCAGATACAGGCAAAACGGCTACAACTTAACAGACCACTGCAATTGAAAAAATAGTTTCAGTGTTAAAAATATTCCACCTAGGCTGGGTGTCAGTGGCTTACAGCTGTAATCCTAGTTACTCACGAGGCTGAGATCTGAGGATCATGGTTCAAAGCCAGCCTGGGCAGGAAAGTCTGTGAGACTCTTATCTCCAATAAACCATCAGAAAACCAGAAGTGGTGCTGTGGCTCAAGTGGTAGAGCGCTAGCCTTGAGCTGAAGACCTGAGGGACAGCACCCAGGCCCATAGTTCATGCCCCACAACCAACAACAACAACAAATATATATATATATATATATATATATATATATATATATATATATATATATATATTCCACCTTTACACAGAGTAAAACTCAAGCAAACAATTGCTATTAAATCTGTTCATGTGGCAATCTCAGCTGACCTTTAAATAATACACAAGCTGTTTAAGTACCATCAGATGAAGAAGTGCATGGGTAAATTCATACAGAAAACACTCTGCACATCTAAACAAATACCCTCTTCTGAAACAGAAATCAGGGCAATTTATGACTTGCCCAGCACAGCACAGTTATAACTACAAATAACAATAAATTCTAGTTAAAATTCAAAACCTATCACTCTAATCTGCCCTCTGATATGACAATGCAAAAAGTATTATCATTTAAAGAAATAGAAAAGGCTCAATTCTATATCTTATAGGAATGGCATATGATTCATACAATAGTTACTAAATTCACAATGTTCTACATTTCACATCTCATTTAATCAAGGTAACTATTCTAAGAGGTGAGGTAAAGTATTGCTCCATTACAGTTAAGGAATGAAGACCTATAATTGAATGTAGCCAATGTCTGAACTCTGGTGGTCTGAACTCATGGACTCCATGTTCAGTCATTCATTCAACAGATACATGAATGATTGCTAAAACTGAAGATATTGAGATATAGATACTACATGCCCCTGATTGCATGTTTACAATCACATAAATATGAACTATCAAGGTTAACTCTGTAAGACACATTTAGGAGAAAATACAAACTAGGATGCACTGGTCTTTCTTTTTTCCATTTTACTTTTATTTTTTGTATATGTGTCAGTCCTAGGCCCTGAGTGCTGTCCTTGGGCTTTTTTGCTCAAGGTAATGCTCTACCACTTGAACTTCACCTCTACTTTTGTCTTTTTTGTGGTTAACTGGTGATCAGAATCTCATAGACTTTCCTTCCTGGGATAGCTTTGAACCTGAGTAGCTAGAATTATAGGTGTGAACCACTACTTCCAGGATCACCAGTCTTTCTGATACCATACATATTTTCTACATTCAGTGCATGTTTCCCAAGCTCAAACTAGTCCTGATAAGTAATCTGTATAATGACTAATTTACATGGAAAAATATTACCAAGACCTTAAAGCTCAGTGAAATTAAGTATACATCCATTAAACAATCTCTTTCTTTGTAGTAGTAGGGTTTAAACTTAGGACCTTGGGTTTTCTATGTAGGCACTGTTCCATTGAGCCTCACCTACAGCTCATTTTGACACTGGTTATTTTTGAGATAGGATCTCCTTCCTGCTCTGATGTATGTCTAGACTACAATCTACCTACTTACACTTCCAGCAAAGCAGAGATGAGCAGCTCATGCCAATACATCCAGCATTTGGTTAAGGAGTTTCACAAACTTTTTCACGTGTATCTTCCCTATTTCAACCTCTCAAGTAGCTAGGATTACAGGAGTGAGCCACCAGTGCTACTACCTTCATTTTCAAAGAACAAACCACATAAGTTCTGCTCAGGAAAATACACTAGTCTTAATCATTTGTAACGCAAACTTTCAAATTTTATTCTTAACTTATTCTTATATTAGTTGATGCTGCTATCAGTAACTCATAGATAAGAAATATTTTTGCTTTTTGCTTCCTAGTATAATAAAGATACATATAAGGTAGCATTTTCATTAGCTAAAACTTGCTTTTTCCGTTTCAATGAGATGGCTACATAACTTCTTGAACAAAATGACCAGGCACTATACTAATAAAAGCATCTTTGGAGGGAGTGTTTAATTGTTGGGTCTTCGTCCGTCCCACGAAAGACGGACGGGGTCCGAGGAAAGGTAAGTGCGGCGCCCGTTCCCTAGCCTCCCTCAGCCCAGGAGACAATCAGACACAGCGGGGAGCCAAATCCAGCAGGTAGAAAAACTCCTTTATTAACAGAGAGCAGCCCCTTTTAAGGACAACAAGGGTGGGTGGTATGGTAAGGGAGGAAGAGGAACCAATCACTGTCAAGGTCACACCCTATCATTCACCTGAGCCCTCACGGGCTGGTTAGGCACTGATCAGAAGATCAATTGGGGTCTGCCCACTCAACCCCTCCCAGAGCCATCTTGGCTGGCCATGTGCTCTCCAGTAAATTAGGCTCTGCCCACTCAACCCCCTCCCAGCGCCATCTTTGCTGCCCATGTGCTCCACATTTAATAAACATATTAAATAAAAACTAACTCTTGAATAAGAAATTGAAAATGCACTGCCTTTAACTTAGAATACTGTGTCAATAGTTATCTGTCAAATTTGCATGTGCTAACATTTCCTTACTGGAAACATCAGTATTTCTATATCACAGTTCCCAAAAGGGCTGAAGAGATACAAAATTCTGTCTCTGCTGGCTTGCTTCTCTCTTGATCATTTCGCCCTGGCTTTATTAATGGTTTGCTTCATATCATCATGTCCATCTTCATAAATTTCTTTAGAACATTCATTAATCCCTCACTAGGATCTATTTGGTGTCCTAGGAAGGCTTTTCTCTCTTTCTATTCTTTTTTCAATGAAGTCAAGTAGTCCCACCATGTTTCCTTCTCTTTCTATAAAGGACAAGAACTATATCACACTTGGTGTTTTTTGAACTGCCTTCCGTACAGATAAGTTTCAAAAGATTGTTCACAACCATGGAGTCATTCCTTCCAGTCAGTTTCTTAACCAAAAGATTTGCTATCTTCTCTGTGAGATGCCCCTGAACATTCTCAGTGGAACTTGATGGAATCTAGTTAGGTAATAAAGATTTTCACAAATTTGGTGCCCAATCGCACCAAAAAGGAAAGAATGAAAAGAAAAAGAAAAGAGAGAGGAAGAACTTTGATGTGGACAGTTAAATGATCATCTATCTCTGGCTTTTTTTTTTTCATGGCTGAACAGCACCAAAATACATCAATGGTGAGAGTATTGTGGCCAAATCAATACTTGGCTTCTACTCCTGTACTGCCTGGACATCCTTTGCCTCTACCAACAAATGACACGATGATGAAACCAACAGATGGAAAGAGGACTCAGAAAACCTAAACTACTGGTTTGCAAGCATTTATGCCACAAAACCTTTACTTCAAAGAAAATACACTGAAAAGTGAAGATGTAAAGTTTCTCTTGCCTCAGCTGAGATTAGGTTCCAGAACCCAAGTAATTCAGATGTACACTGGCCCACCCCACATCCACTCCATGACTTCCAACGCCACTGATAATGTCCTGCTCCTTCATTTTACAGCTGTGGAAACTGATGGTCTACAATTCCTCAAAAAAGGGGAATAGAGGGGCAAAGCTGGCAATGGAGCCCACGGTTTTCTAGTGATCAATCAGGACATACCAAGCACATAGCTGTCCTTTTGACTCACACCCCAAAAAGATAAAGGATGGAAACTGTAATTGAAATTAATGTGCCTCATCTCAGGACAAACCTTGACGATGGAGGGATTGGTAAGCAGGGAAGTCTGGTGGTGACAGCTGCAGCTCCACTAATTCACAGTTGAATAAAATATGGCCTCCCTTTAGGGCTGACCAGAGCTACCCAAACAGTTTTACTCCTTGTTGGCATGGTTTTTTCTTTTACTTCTGTACCCTTTGTCTTGCATATAAGTGTAGCTGATTTGGGAAAGGAAAGGGGAAACACAGAAACAGTGGGACAATGGGTGAACCAATTCGACAGTGATACTCACTAGACACTATGTCGGAAATGTACTTTACAACTTGGAGGGAGGGGTCAGGAGGAGGGAAAGTGGGAGAAAATGAGGGAGGGGTGACATTGCAAAAGGAAATGTACTCATTACCTGATTTATGTAACTGTAACCCCTCTGTGCATCACCTTTGCAATAAAATTTAAATTAATGGACTGGGATGTAGCACAGTGGCAAAGCGCTTGCCTAGCAAGTGCAATGTCCTGGGTTCGATCCCCAGTACCAAAAAAGAAAAGACAAAAAAAATTAAATTAAAAAATAATTAATAAAAAAGAAATAAAACAAATTAAGCCAAAATAAAAAGGCTTGACGGTGACTGCCTAACAGATTCAAATTTGTAACTACATTGCATATGCATGCACACAATTCAACTTTGTCAGAAGTTTAAGCCACATTAATGAGCCTGTGGGGAAAGGAGTAAGGGAGTGAATAATCAGCAAAGATAACAACAGTGGCTTATCGATGAATTATAGTTTTATATTACCAGGTATGATCTACATTCTGTGCACAGAACCCCAGCTTAGATCATCTGGTTGCACTCTGAAGTAGCTGTATTTCAAAATCAAAGGTCAAGTCAAGTGCTTCCATCTTAGGCTTGGAGTATGTTGTGGATTTCAAGGTTCATATCAACATGTGTAAATTACTTTTAAAGTACTGTAACTTACCTCTGTTTGAGACATCAGTGACACCAAAAGAGCCCTTAAAATTAAGTTTCACACTGCCCCTAACTCGCCAGACATTTGCCCCAGAAGATGGCTAGGAATCCTGTCACTCTGAAGCCTGTAAAGCCTCACTTCTCTGCATGGCATTGCCTCTTTTTAGTCCACGAAGTGTGGATTTATGGTAGCCAAAGATAAACTTGCCAATAGTTTGACAGATTGTTTTCTGGATGTATTTGTAGCATATTTCTTCAGCGTGTCTCACCTCCTCCAGCTTAAATGTGGCTCCAACATGTGGCTTGATGAGCCCTTGCTGGCAGTACTGAAGTGCAGAGGACAGGCTCTTGGAAAAGACAGTAAAGTTCTGTTGCTTGTAGCGACCCCAGTAGAGACCCATGGCACAGATGTTCTTCAGGAGCAGCAGGTTGGAGGGAACAGATGCAATGTTTCCTCCAGCAAATCCCAACACCACAATCCTACCCTCCCATGCCAGGCTAAAGAGAAGGAAAAGAAATGATAAAGACCAACGGACATTTACTTCCATTAAAATGGTTACTATGTGTATATACGTATATATATACATATGGAAAAGGAAGAGAAGGAAGAGCAATGAACATTTACATCTATTAAGATGGCTATAGATGGATTTAAAAAAGGTGGGAGGAAGAGGAGGAGAAAAGTTGATGAGGATGTAGAGAAACTGAAGTAATCCCATCTACTTAAGAAGTGGAGGTAGGAAGACCTTAGTTCCATTTCCTGGTAAAAGCACAAGATCCTACCCTACAAAAAAACTAAAGCATAAAGGGATGAAGGTATTACTCAAATGATAAGAGTACTTATCTACAATGAATGAGGCCCTGAATTCAAACCTTAGGGCTACTATGAGAGAAAAAAAATAGTCCAGTTTGAAGATTTTGAACTTGAGCTATAGAAATAAAACAAACACTAGAATTAAGGATCATTGCTCTATACGAAGTTTAAGACTCTTTCATGTCATGGTGCTTCTGGAGAACATTTTAAATAATCTACAAAAATTCACAAGTTTTCTAAGCCCATTACTGACAAACACCAAAGTACATGCTACACAGTAAATTATAAAACCTTTGTGTACATTTTTGCTAAAAAAAAATGTTTGGTTTTTGCTTTATCTGCTTTCCTTCTTCAGAAGGGAACTGAGAAGCTGTTTCAAAACATTATCCAGAAATCAAAAAGGGAAACAAGAAGGGTAAGTCTACTTGGTCTACATATTCCTTCTTTTGCTTCTTCTTTAAACATGGTACCAGGTATTTTACAGTGCTGATCAGACACGAATACAGCCTGTCTCTCAGCTCAGAGGCTTTGATTCCAACTGGATTCCTTCTGTGGGTAGGCTGCATACTCTCTCTCTCTCTCTCTCTCTCTCTCTCTCTCTCTCTCTCTCTCTCTCTCTTTCTCTCTCTCTCTCTCTCTCTCCCCTTCTGGTTTTCTCCTTTAAACTGAAACAAACTACAAAATGACACTTGTCAAGATGATACAAAAAATGAAAATAGGCAAGACATGTTTGGTAAACACCACCTCAACATTCAGAAAGCTGAAGTAGAAAGATCACCAAGTTCAAGGTCAACCTATGCTACATAGTGACTTGCACAGTTAGGGTAATATAGCGAGACCCTGTCTCAGAAATAAAACAAGAGAGAGAGAGGAAGAGGGAAGAGAATGAGGGCAGAAAGGGATGAAGGATAAAGACATGGAGAAATAGAGAGAGAGAGAGAGAGAGAGAGAGAGAGAGAGAGAGAGAGAGAGAAGGAAGAAAAGGAAAACTAATGCTCTCAGAATATTCCAGAATCCCTGGTTGGAAACAAAATAAGAACTGGTATTGTATAATAACCCCACTAAATTTTCAGCAGTGTTGTTTTTTAATACAACAAATCCTGGAAACACACTGCTGGCTGCAGAAACCAGTAAGAGCTGGACTCCAGTGGCTCACGCCTGTAATCCTAGCTACACAGGAGGCTGAGATATGAGAATCTTGGTTCGAAGCCAGCATGGACAGAAAAGTCCTTATGAGGTTCTTATCTCCAATTAACCACTCAAAAACTGCAAGTGGTGCTGTGGCTCAAGTGGTAGATTTCTAGTCTTGAGCACAAAGAGGCTCAGGGACAGTGCCCAGGCCATGAGATCAAGCCCCACAACAGCCCAGAGGGGCGGGGCAGGTAGGGAGAGATTGAGAAGAGAGAGAAACCAGCAAGATCAGGAGAGCTTATACTTTGATGCACCATGAACTGGGGGAGGAATGATTGCCACCCTAGAAATTCTAACATCTGAACAATGATCTCCTAAAGACTGCCCCATGTACATAAAATAGTAGGGGTTAGCATAGCTGAATTAAACACATGCATAATTTCTTAAGCATTTAACACTGCCAACTGGAAAGTCTGCAGTCATTTTTTGGATATTTTCCAGTTGGGTATTTTGTTTTTGCTATATTTAAGCATTTCCTGATTTTCTCTGCTTCTATTCCTTGTCATCCTCCTACTCAGCTATTCCTGTTGATGTCTACAGGAGAAGTGAACAGCAAAGACAAGAGGAAAGAGAGAAGCAAGCCAGAAGGAAGACAGAAGAAGTACAGAAAAGTTCAGCAAGCCTCAGCTCCAGCCCACTCTGCACAGACAACTGCACGCACCTGCGGAGAGCTTCCAGAAAGACATCTCCTCCCACCATGTCGATGGCCACATTCACCCCACCACTGCCCACCAGATTCTTCACCGCATCCTTCAGACTTCCCTGACTGTAGTTCACGCTGTATTGTGCACCCCTCTTCATAGCCAGCTTGCATTTCTCATCACTTCCAGCTGCAGCTATTACCTGCATAAAAAACACAAGATTTCCAATGGTTCCAAACATTATTCTAAGAGGATGCACCCAGTCTCCCTAGACTCCAGCCAACATCAATGAAACCAATAGCTAAGATCATTCAAGAGATACTCTAAAAATTTTCTTCAACTGATAATAAAACCCACCATTTACTAAGTACCACCATGAATCAACTACTTAACATACAAGCTGGCTAGCAACCTAGAAGTCAAAAAAAAGCAACATATAGCAGTATGATGGGGGAAGGACCCAAGTTCGAACAAGAGCTATCCAATCTCCATCCAGAAAGTCAGGGAAAGCTTCCCAGACCATAAAACCTGACACAGTAGAAAGAGCTTGAGGTCAGAGAGATCATGGTTCAAATCCTACCTCTGCCACTTACCCAGCTATGTTATCATAGACAAATTACTTAGTAATAATTAACATAATATGTCATTATTTTACATACATTAATGGCTCATTTAGTCATAATAGATCAATAGAATATGTTCTATTATTGCTCCTCTGTTATAGATAAAGAAATTAATATAAAATAAGCTAAGTAAGGTGTCCAAGGAAGTTCACAGAGTCAACAGGAAACAGAGCTAAGATTCAAACCCAGTTAATCCATCTCTAGAGTTCATGTATTTGCCTTGTACTTCCTGATAACACTTCCAGGTCTGGTTGGTAAAATACACTTATTTTAAAAATTAAATGAGCCAGGCACTAGTGACTCATGCCTATAATCCTAGGTACCTAGGAGGCTGAGATCTGAAGATCATGGTTCCAAGCAGCCAAGTAGGAAAGTCTGTGAGACTCTTACCTCAAATTAACCACCAGAAAGCCAGATATGGAGCAGTGGCTCAACAAGGGGTAGAGTACCACCTTTGAAAAAGCTGAAGGAGAGCACCCAGGACTCAAGTTCTAGGCCCAGTACAGGCATAAATAAATAAATAAATCACTCTACTTACATCATTTGGGAAACAAAGAATAAAATAAATTAGTGTTCTATACATGTAAGCATTTCTTCAATTTAAACTTCAGAAGGACATTTTCAGGAAGGGTTGATTATTTCCAAACCACAGAGAGAGGCAGAGGCATAAATTCAGATACTTATCAACCCAAGGTCATCCAGGTAGCAGGAAAAACAATTAATTCAAAGCCAACACTGCCTTACTCCAAAGCCTATCCTTTTTATCTCCAACATCCTAGAAGAAAACAGTGCCTAAGGTCCCATACAGATGGCAGAGCTGGCTGTCGGCCACTCACGGAGAGATAGAGGGTTTGGAAATCTGCACAAAAGATGCATACCCTTCAGCATCATTCAAAGGCGCCTCATTAGTGAGCAACCCTATCACCCAAACATTTTGTCCCAAGTGATGCTCAGAACCCCACTCACTTCAAGAACATCATTATCCTTAAAGGATTCCAAACTCACTGGCAATTGTTTGAAACTGAAAGCTCCTCTTCAATGCCCCTCAAAATAGCCCAGCTCACTGACGGCTATTCACACACACAGGACCACAGTGGAAAGACACTAGATGAGGGTCGGGCACCTGACTGCATCCCAAGTTCTCACTAAGTCTCAGTGAGACCTTCGGCGAGTCATAATTCTCTTGGTGCCTCACTGTCTTGATCTGTGAAACAGGGAAATAAACACTTACATTTCCCCTCTCCCAGGGGTTATGGGAAGGTCCAGTGTAAGATAATTACTTCGGAAGCAGCTTGAAAAACTGAGGATAGAAGGTGTGATCAAAATGACCTATTCTGAGTAGGTGACAAGATATCACATTTACTTCTGTTTAAAACCATTTTTCCTGGGAAAGAAATGTTCTCGATGCGTGCATATAGAATAATACATTTCATTCATTTGGGTCAATTTTAATACCCAAATTGAAATGACTTTTCCATTTCACTTCTGAGAGAACTTCTTGAAAGAAATGGTACCATTTACCTTTCTAGAAATGTTAGTCAGTGGATCTAGACAAGGGACATTCTGATCCCTCCCCTCCAAGAGGAGCTAAAATCCATTTCACCTCACATGAAATGTGTTAATGTTCCACGAGAAGCTTCCTAGCGCCGAAGATTCCCTGTGGAACTTTCATGCCCTTCCCAAAAGGAGTCAGAAATGAAAAAGGAACAATAACTCCCCACAGAAAATTCCAAGACAATTCAAGAGTCTTCAACCCTGTGCATACATGGACTTGCCATCTCAACCTGAGTCGCTTGCTTTACAGAAACCCTGCACTTGACTGATCGCACCAGCCCCAAAACTAAACTCTCCATTTCCTCCTGTGTGCTCAGTCTCAATAAGTGGCAATTCCAGAAGTTAACCTAGTTTGCTCCCTCCCACTCGCTGTCTAATAATAACAGGATTCGCTCTTTAAGAGATTCTTACTGACATGCCACACCCTGTAACAGGCACACTGCACATGTAATCTCAACACTGCCCAACAACTCTATAAAGAAAGCAGCATTTTACAAATGAGGAAAGTTATTAAACTAGAAGTACAGCTGGAATGAACACCTTTGTCAGGCTACCTTTAGAGTCTTTGTTTCTCTGACCAGCCAGATGTTCTATGGTCACTAAATTTTCTATTTTTTTCCACTTCAGTCGGACTTTGACTTCCTTGATTCAGGCAATCTAACATCTGGCTTGCACAACAAAAGCCACCATTATTCTCTCTCTCTCTCTCTCTCTCTCTCTCTCTCTCTCTCTCTCTCTCTCTCTCTCTCTTTCTCTCTCTCCCTATCTCTCTCCTTTTTTCTTCTTCCTTTTCCTCTTTTTCCTTCTCCTTCCTCTTAACTCGTCTCCTCCTTCTTCTCATCCCTCTCTTTCTTTCTCTCTCTCTTCTCTACTCTCTCCCTCTCTCTTTGCCTTTGCCCCTATCCTTCATCTCCACAAGCTACCAGAGTAATTTCCTTTTAGTGTAACAATGATGCCAGGCAGTGTGGTATGCATTTGTGATCTTAGCACTTAGGAGGCTGAAGCAGGAGGATCCAGAGTTCAAAACCAGCATAGACTACATGGTAGGACCTTGCCTCAAAAAAGCAAGGATAAGCATGCCAGTCAGGCACTGGTGGCTCACACTTGTAATCCTAACTTCTCCAGAAACTGAGATCTGAGGATCATGGTTCAAAGCTGGCCATGGCAGGAAAGTCCATGAGACTTTTATTTCCAATTAACCACCAGAAAACTGAAAGTAGCACTGTGGCTCCATGTGGTAGAATCCCAGCTTTGAGCAAAAAAAAAAAAAAAAAGCCCAGGGACAGCACCCAGGCCCTGAGTTCAAACTCCACAACTGACAAGAAAAAAAAAAAAAGATGATCATGTCATGTACTTTTTTAAAATTCTTAAGAGCCCCCATGAGTCTGCAATAAGCATTCCAATTTCACAGCTACGTGACGGACTCTCATGATCTTATCTCTTCTAACATCACTAATACACCACTCATCATCCCCTGAAACAAGTCTGTGTACAAGAGATGCCATTTGCAATTCCCTGGATGCATGATGTCTTCTCACCACGAAAATGCCCTTCTGTCGCCATCACTGCCATCTATTCAACTACCAGTCCCTCAGGAGACATGGTAAATGTCTCCCTTCTCTCTGACACCTACAGCCTCAGACTTGATTTATTCATCTGTTCGTACATTCATTCATTAGTTCTTTCATTCAAAAAACGGTTCTTGAGTGCCCACCATATTCCAGGTACCATGCTAGGTGCCAGGCCTACAGTGATGAACGACACAGACTTCTTCCTGCCTTCATAGTGACTACAGTCCAGTTGGAGGGAGATATTAATGACACAATTGAAATTAAATGTTAATGACACAATTAAAAGAGGCACCACACAGTGAGGTATGCACTAAGAAAGGAAATACAGGGTGTTGTGACATCATATATAAATAGTGGGAGAAGAGACTGGCCTAGCCCAAGGACAGAGAATATATCTCTAAAACAGTCACATCTGAGTTTAACTCTGAGTTGCAGAGGGAGGCTAACATTTAAAAGGCCCAAAGTGAGGCAGCCCTTTCCAGATTCTAGTAACTGAAGTGGTAAGTGATATCTTGTTAGGTCTCCTCCTACTGGATAAACAAACACATGGGAAGGCCCTCATCTGTGTGTGTGTGTGTGTGTGTGTGTGTGTGTGTGTGTGTGTGTGTGTGTGTGTGTGCGTGTGTGTGTGTGTGTTGGTCCCAAGGTTTGAACTCAGGGCCTGGGCATTGTCCCTGAGCATTTTTTTTGCACAAATCTAGTGCTCTACCATTTGAGCCACGGTTCCCCCTCTAGCTTTTTGGTGGTTAATTGGAGATGAGAAATGAGAATCTCATGGACTTTAATACCTGGGCTGGCTTCAAACCACAATTCTCAGATCTCAGCCTCCTGAGTAGCTAAGATTACAGACGTGACCCACCGGCACCCAATCCAGCACACAATTTTTAATAAATGAATAGATAGATTCCATGTCTGAAAACTAGAGGTGTTTTTCTAATAGAGACTCTAACATGCAAATACCTTGGCCTGAAGCACATTTGTTGCCACATCAATCACTGCGAGTCCTGTGGCTCCAGCTGCTGCCGTCACTAACACAGTTTCTCTGTGCCAGAGAAGGATAAATGTTACTGTGGAAACCTTCAAACTCCATCCAATAACATGACTTCAGGAACATGTTAAAACTAGACCAGGTAGAGCAAGAATGTTACAGATCATTTCATTCAAACCCTTCATAAACATCTACCACAGCCTTTAGAGATGGAAGATTTATGTAGCTTCTGGGTCAGTGCTAATTTGGTCCAGTTTTGAAGATGTCCTGGGACAAAGATCCCTTGATCTCTCCAGGCAGTCTCTCCTTCCCGGCAATGGTCTTTGCACAACCATCCAATTTACACTTCAGAAAATTTGTCCTAAAATGGTTTTCATAAATACTGCCTGCCTTTAGAAGGCAGTAGTCACAGAATGATTACTGTTCAATTAATCCCAATAGTTGGGAGCAATTCTGAGAGTTAGTTTTCTGAAAAGATCAAGAGGCATTTTCCCAGGTAAAAGGGGAAGCTTCGCCATTATTGAGTTGGAAATGCCCTACTTGGCACACCCGACCACATCTCACAGAAACAAATACCACAGGCCTCCATGAAACTAATATGAAGGAGTTTAAATAAGACAGCTCTGAGCTAGGCATGGTGGTACACTCTTGTAATCCTTCATTCTGGAGGCTGAGACAGGAAAATCATGAGTTCAACGTCAGTCTGGGCTACATAGTGAATTTCAAACCAACATGAGGTACATACAAAGATCTCATCAAAAATAAATAAGAATAAATCAACTCCCTAAGCTTTTAAGATTTTCCTATGGAACAATCCTTAATGTGGTTAGGTTTGAGAGAACCATTTTTCCAAAGTCATTTTGACCAAATTCCCAGTGTCCTAATCCCAATCAAAAGGATGCCCCTATAATCTCCACACCCCAGTCTCAGTGACTGCATCCCTTTTGCCTTTCCTCAACCAAAATGAACATGAGCTGATGAGAAAGAGAAGGGAAAGGTGAAAGCAAAGATGAAGAGAAGGCAAAGAGAAGGGAAAGCCTTGTTGGGACACTTGTACCTTCTAGCACTCTACCATCTACAGAGTCCTTACCCAGGCTGTGTATGGGCCCGATGGTCTAGAGCCAAAATTGCAGTGCCATAAGATACAGGTAGGACAGCAGCCTCTTGTAGAGAGACCTTTTCTGGAACCTGCCATAGGCTCTATGGGAAACATAACAGTGAGTTAGATATTAAGCATACATACCTAGTTACAACAGCTGCCCAGTAAATATTATGGTTTGATTGAATGACTAATTGGAAATGAGAAAATACATGCCTGCAACCAAGTCCAGCGGAAATTCAAGCCGAAGCAAGCCATGGTAGAGGACTTGAGTATCTGTCCAACCTCAAAATTCTAAGACTAGAATCTGGCTTCAAAAAGAAGCCAAATTATTATGGGAAACTATGGCCAGCACGGATGAACTCTTTACCTCAGTAAAGCTGGGGTGTGGGGCAGTCCATGTAATGGATACCACCAGGGGGCACCATTCACATCCTGCTCAATCATAAAGAGCCATCTTGGCTGGCTACATTCCCAAAGCTATGTATTTCAGAAGCTTTAAGTGTGGGGACAAGTCCATTATGTTCAGCTCAATTTTCCAAACCAGTTTTTCTACCAAAACAACCTAAGTTCCAACTGGACATCTAGCCAGTTGCTCAAGCACTAAAAATAATAATGATGATAATAATAATATAAAAGCCCCTTTGCACTGAAACACTCCACACAAATGAAACTCCATGCCTGGATAGTTACACCAAGAAGAGAGGAGATTAGCATTTGAAAAAAAGAAAACAACACTGCTTGATTGAGAAGCAAGATACCACCAAAATAACTGTAAAAAAGAAAAGTGGGAAGAGTAGAGGGGATGAGGAACAAGGGAGGGGTGGAAATTAAAGAAAACAAAAGAGAAAAAAGATTTTAATGTTGAGACATAGGGATACCTTCTGGTCAGTGACGCATTCTTCAGCCATAGCATTTAAGCCAGTCACACCAATAACTCGATCTCCCTAAAGGGAAAGTAGCATTAAGAATGTTCAAATGTATGCCCCCTTACATTTTATCACCTCCTCCTGAAATAATCAAAGAATGAAAGAAAAAAATATACCTCTGACTCCATAAGACACAGATTAACCCTAATACATATTCAGAGTTAACATTCATCAAATAAAACAGCTGGTTACCAAACCTATGTGAGCATATTTTAGACAACAGAGAGGGAAAGGAAGGAAAAAGTTGCCATGAATTAGAATTCCAGTACTAGCTTCTTTCATATAAGACTCAAACTTGAGAATCCTTGATCCTCTCAGTCACTTGAAGGCTGAGTTGCTACTTTTTCTTCATAATAAAGAGTTTAAGGAAACTAGAAGCCCAAGAGATTTCTTCCCCCAATTCAGAATCTGTTTCTTACCCTCCTACCTCAATTTCCCTTTGTTGTCTGCTGGAAAAGCTCAGAGCAGCAAGACTTTGAAGGTACACACGAGGTTAACACATTTCTCATAGTCCCCATACATTGGTTACCTCTTTCACTGTGCTGACATCTGTTCCTGTCTCCAGTACTGTCCCAGAAAACTCCATTCCTAGAACATCATTTAAAGATAAGTTATCTTAAAGTCAGTACATGGAGATATGTAAACCCAAATCCATAGGCCAGCTCACCAGTTTGTTTAAGTTGAGGGATAAAGTATTGCTCCTCAAACAGAAGAGTGAGCATAAGATTTCATGCTCACACCCGAAAAAGCTATGGAAGTACCATTCTTAACCTTGACCCAAATGATCACTTCAAGAAGGTACACAAGCACAACGAAGCACAAATGTACAGGTACTCTGACCCTGATCACCAGGGCCTTGGGCCCCCAATGTCATGCTCCTCAAACTGTATTTATCTGTTTCTATGTATCCTGTGCTGAGCTATGAGGCCTCAAGTACATGAACTGTGTTTATTCAGCTAGCTCTCAGTTCAACTGGGTAAATTAATGTTCTCTGAACTTCCTTCTATCTCTGAAATTCCTAGATTTCATGTTCACTCAATTCCTACTTGAGGTGACAGGGAAATAACTCAATTGTGTGACATCTTCTCCACTGTGCAACATTGTGGCAAATACAAACAGAAAGAAATCATTCCACTCTTAAGACACAACCAAAGTAGAACATGGTGGTATTGGAATTTCACCTGGAATCCAGGCTCAGGATTAAATACTCTGGAGGTAGAGGTAAGATCATAGTGTCTGGTCAGCCCTAGGCAAAACTGTAAGACCCTATGTGAACAACAATCTAAAAGCAAATAGTGCTAGGGTATGGATCAAGTGTAGGTTACCTGTGCCTCCCTAGCAAGCTTGATACCTTGAGCTCAAACCCCAGTATGATCAAAAAAAAAAAAGACAAAAAATATTCTAAGGCCAAAATATAGCAACTATGTGGCAATTATTATATCTCTAATAATATATTCACATAAAATATACATGTAGCTGGATGCTAGTAGCTGAATAGCCTTGCTATTCAGAAGGCTGAGATCTGGGGATCATAATTGAAAGCCAGGCTAGGCAAGAAAGTCCATGAGACCCTTACCTCCAATTAACCACCAAAAAGCCAGAAATGGAGCTGTGGCTCCAAGTGGTCGAGTGCTAGCCTTGAGCACAAAAGCTCAAGGACCATGCACTGGCCCTGAGTTTAAGGCCCAGGACTGGCAAAATAAGTAAATAAATGGAATGAAATGAAATGAAATATGCATGTACTGTGAACATCCTAAGCTCTACTTACATCACTTAAAAAAAAGACCCTCAACAAGTTATTTGCCTATATATTCAGGATCTAAAAGTAATCATATTGGATAAAATGAAAATCAGACCGAGAACTGCTAAAAAAAAAAAAAATGAAAACACTCTTTTTTTTTCTTTTGGATACTCTGGCATTAGGTTTTTTTGGGCACATGCTATGAGGCTGAAAGTCTTACCAGCAAATAGATTTTTATGATCCTTCAAAGAAAAAACAAAACTGAGGCAATATTAAAGAAAGAACAGGAATGACTAGGGACCGTTAATGATTCAGGATTATGGTTCAAGGCCAGCCTGGAAAAAATTAGCATCCCCTATCTCAACAAAACAAGCTAGGTATGGTAGTACACATCAGAAATACCAGCAACTCAGAAGGTGAAACAAGGAAGATTGCAATCTGAGGCTGGTGTAGGCAAAAACCTGAGACCTTGTCCAAAAGACAATCTAAAAGAAAAAGGACTATAGTGTGGGTCAACTGGTAGAGCACTGGGTATGGCTCAAGTGAGATAGCACTGGGTGTTACTTGAGTGGGAGAGTTGGTAGGGTATTTGTCTAGCAAGCACAAGATCCTGAGTTAGATCAAAAATGATTCTGATGAACACAATTCTAGTGAACACCTGAGGTATGAACATTTTTGTATAACTTTCTTCAAGGACTCATAATCTAGTGATCTTAACTAACAATGATGCTGAAATATCTCACAGATACCTCACTGATGGCAAGACAAAACCCACCAGAGCATTGTCTGGAAGGGTGGTGTGCAATTCTGAAAACGTGCAAGATCTTTTCCTGAAACAGTCCTTCATTTCCCCCTACTCACCAGGTGTGAAAGGAAGATGGGCCATTTCCTGATACTGACCACGGCAGGCCAAAATATCAGCAAAGTTGACTCCACAGAAATGGACATCAACTCTGGCCTGTAAAGAAAACAGAGCAGCAGAACAGAACAGGATGTACACTGAAGACAAAGCTCACTCAATTATTCAAAAAGATTGAATCAATGAATGAATGAATGACAACTAAATACCAGGCACCAAAAAGATCCAGCATGCCATCAGGAGGCAAAATGGACACAATTTCTTGGTGAAGCTAAAAATAGAGTTGGAAGACAGATATTATCCAAACGATAATGAAACCATATGTATTAAATTATAACTAAAACTACATTTTAATAATAGGAATGGAGGGGCTAAAAAAAGCACATAAATGGGGTTATGTGATGATTGGGGAAGTCAAGAAAAACTAAGAAAGTAACATTTGAGTAACAGCTTAGAGTTAACAATAGAAAATAGGACTGGAGGAAAAAACTGACACAGACAAAAAACAATGGTGTGTGCATGTGGGCAAAAGAAAATAAAAACCAGGGAGCCTAGAACACAGAGAAGAAAGAGAAGGGGGGCAGGGCAGAGGTCAAGGGCCCACATCATGTAAAGACTTGTAGGTCTACATTGAGGATCTTCACCTTTATACTAGGAGCAATGGGAAGCTAGAAAGGGATTCTAAACAGAAGGATAACATAATCAAGCTGGTTTGGGAATCTGGAATCCTGGAGGCAAGCCTAGATCTCCAGCTTCTATACTCAGGACAAAGGCATCATGAGGTACAACTAGAGCAGCAGAAGGAAGACCAGTAGTTTCTCTACATCTTGCAAAGCCAGTGAGTGAGTGTCAGAAGATGGCCCAAGACTACCAGAATCAGATCACCTGGGACCTGTTAGAAATTCCAATTCTTGTGCCCCACAAATCAGACGCTCAGGGCAAAACCAAATTAATCTGCTTAACCATCTCATGTGATCATGATGCACTTCAGAAAACCACTGGGCTAGATGACATCCCAGCAGGGACTGGAGTCCCAGAAGAAAGTGTCGTGATGGCTGGGACATGAAATTGACAATGTTTGTCAATTTATTTCAGAAATAGCCATCTTGTCAAGAATGCTTTTTTTTTAATCTACAAAATTCATTCATTTTGTGATTTTTTTTAAAGCCTCTGCCTCATGCCAAGTCTCATTTTAAACCACAGGATTTAATGGTGAATAAAAATAACCTAATTGCAGCTCTCATGAGCTAATTCCTTACAATGCAATATCTGGACAAATAAGAGACACAAGGAGCCCAGCCCTAGCTAATGCAATGCATGCTGGATAAATGTCACATTCATTATTCAGACCTACAGCACACTCCACCTGGATTTAGAATGACTCAGCCCAAGGTCTCACACATCTATCATCTGGGCGTTCAGAAGGCTGAGACAAGAAGAGAGAGAGAGTTCAAGGCTGGCTTCAGCTACACAGGAACAGATCGTGTCTCAAAAAAAACACCAAGGAGAAGAGGGGAGACAAAGGCATACGCTTTCCCAGCATGTGAATCCTAAGAAGCAGACTTCCCGCGTGTGTTCATACAAATAATCCTTTTGAGTGACCCGATGGGGCTCCGGGCATGAGCCTCGCTGTGTGCTCCACGCAGTGGAAGGTTCTCGTTCTGCACACCAGGTGACACTGTGTCACCAGACCGGTCAGCAGGCCAGGCCAACGTGACTGACTCATTTCCGTGAAACTAAGCTAGTGCCAGCCCACATCATCGCAGGGCACGGGGCATGCGTTCACAGGGGATTTCAGGCTGCTTTGGGGCAGATAGCTTGACCTTGACACTGAAGAGGAACGAAGCAAAGTAAGGATCCGTTTGTGGGTGTGAAATCAACCATTTGCAGGCAGTTATGCAAAGCCGTGTGTACATCGGAATTCTCTTGTTTCTAAGGCAACATCCCGCGGAGCCTTCCGGGAGAGCGTCCTAGCCATGTGTTTGGGGGGCACTCTTCCCTAAGCACCTGTGAGCCCCCACTCTGTGAACTTGGAGTGACTCTGACCTGGCAGCTCAGGACCAACTTGGGCCCCCCTAGCTTGGGAACCGGGGCTGTGATTCAGGCGGGAAGCCTGGTGGAGACGACTCGGGTGTGGAGGGATCCCCACGACTGGGGCCAGGCACCCTACCTCGTGAGGCTGGACAGGGCGGGGGGCCACTTCTTCAATGGCCAGGGGCCGCTTCAGCTCGGTGCAAAGCGCGGCTCGGTAGTGCCGACCGTGGCCCTGCCCGGGTCTCCTGTAACAGGGAACAAGAGAGAGCTTACTGGGGCTAGGGCGCAAGGTGCTTCCCGGGGCTGCCCAGCGGGCCTCCGGGGAGCCCCCGGACTGCACCTGCGGAGCCACACCCGGGGAAGGCAGCGTCGGCCGGCCAGCGCCGCCATGGCTGCGGGAGCGAGCCGCAGGCCCGCGGGCACAGCGTGGCAGGAAGGGCCGGACAGCGCCGGCCCCGCCCCGAGGAGAGCGGAAAGGCGTCCCGGGGACGCGCCCCGACCCCGGCCCCGCCGAGGCCGGCAGTCTGCGCCCAGCCAGGGGCAGCTGCTTTGGCAATACTCCTGGCTTCCCTGGCTCAGTCCTGGAAGGTCGGATCCCCTTGGCTCCCAGGCCTCCCTGGAAGGGAAAAACCAAAGCCCGAGTGAAAGGATTCCATTGCGCGAAGGTTCTTCTCCGTGGTCATTTTGAAGAGACCAAAAAAAAAGTCCTCAATGCGTAGATAAATCTTTTGATGTTCCATTCTTGTTACCAATTCTTGTTCAATTTCTCAATTTTCTTACACAGGCTCAATTACACTAAAAATACTGAATAGTTACCAGTGATCTGATGTTCACTGATCCTACACAAATCCAGAGTACTTCTAATTAAAGTCAGGCCACAGTTGTGTTTTTTATAACTCCAACCACCTATATTAGGGACACACTTAGTAGATTCTCAATAAATGATCCAATGGCCACCTACTTCCTAAGTGAGCAGGCACATTCAGGAAGGACCAAAAATATAAGACTGGGTAGACTCTGTTAACAACAGTAAACAAATATTTATGAAAGCTGTTTGCCATGCTGGAAAAAATATGTCTCTGGCCTGGTAGATATGGGGTCAAAGAGTTTAGGTCTTTAAACTGAACTGGAGGTGTGGCTCAATGGAAGTATGCCTAAGTAGCTTGAAGCCCTGAGTTCAAACCCAAGTACCTCAAAAAAATTATATACATGCATGTGTGTAGTGTGTGTGTGTGTGTGTGTGTGTGTGTGTGTGTGTGTGTGTCAGGTTCAATTCTAACCCTGCCAGTTGTTGGTATGGTTTTAACAGTTGTACTTAGTAGTTCTTGCTCTCAATGAACTCTTCCACAAAAGAAGGCATTGAGCAAACATGGTCAACAAAGAAAAGCAGGAAGAATGGGGACCAAACAAGAAGTAGGAATGAACTATGAAGATTATGGCCTAGAGAATTTGGTGGGCAAGAAATCTAAGAAGAAATACCCATGTTGGGTATCAAATATAGGTCACTTATAATAGCACTTATAGGAAATCTGAGAAGTCATTTTAGCCTTCTGCCCATACACAAACACCAGGAGAAAAGGGAACAGTGACTAAAAGGTAAGAAGATGAAAAATGCTTGTGCTTCCAATAAGATATGTGAGCATTTTGTAAAGTGTTAATTATTAAGTACATAAAATAAAACCAAAGGCTGAATATGTACATCAATGGTGGAACATTTGCCTAACATGTATAAAGCCATGAGTTTCATCCCCATTACTGAAAAAAAGATCTGATTACAGCCAGGTGCCACTGGCTCATGCCTATAATCCTAGCCACTCAGGAGGCTGAGATCTGAGGATCACAGTTCAAAGCCAGCAAAGGCAGAAAAGTCCATAGGACTCTTTTCTCCAATTAACCATTGAAGAGCAAAAAGCAGAGATGCCTCAAGTGGTAGAGTGTCAGAGTGCCATGCCCAAGCCCTGCATTCAAGCCCCAGTGTGCACCAGTAGCACACGTGCACACACGCATGCGCCCTCACATAAACACATCACTCACACACACACACACACACACACACACACACACAAATCTGGTTGCCAAACAACAGCGAGGAATAAGAAATCTAAAATTTATGACGCTCCAATCCAGTATTGATTGATCTGAGTAGGAAATGAATTGTTACATGGGCAAAGTGTTTTGTAAAATATTTAGCTATATTAATGTCAGAAGATATTACTATAAGCAAGCAATAAAGCAAGCAACTTTTAATTGAGCTGCTTGAAAGCAGCAACCATTTCTTAATCTTTATGTTTACAGCATTTGTTTAATGCCTGATACTTGTAGGCATTTAGCAGGTATACCTAATGAAATGTTGAATGAGCACTCAGGTATCTAGTATTAATTTTCCAGAGGATTAGAAGTATCATGTCTTGTATTTTTAATGAAATGCTTTTATGGGATAATTTTCTATTACAGTTTTCATAATATACTTGTCATTCTCAGGGACTATGGTGTATAAATCTATCAATACCGCATTGTACATCTTTGAAAAGTTCTGAAGAAAATAGCAAAACTACCTTTAAGAAGCATCTTGAAGGTAAATGAGGGTATTTTAGATAATTGAGGTGATTTAAGCATTTACATGTAAAATAACTTTCACATTTCCCAGGAGCAGTCAGAGGTGACAGGGCCTTTAATAGTAGTTGCTATGGTAGCAAATGAAATGTTTAAGCCTATCCATCAACATTCTGCCACCACACCTTACTGTCTACCTTTGGTTATTGTTTCTGGTTATTCTATTTGAGAGTGAAATGAAAAGAGGGAACAGGAAGAATAAAGTTTGAGTCTTGGGAGAGATTATGATCATGCAGTAACAGAGGACTGAACTGATCAGTCCTCTGGAAAGAAAAAAAAACGATTAATAATCGCCCTACAGACCAGCTTGAAGTCTCATTAAGGAAGTAAAAGAGTAACAGATGACTCTTCCTTCTGGTACAGTGTGCATGAAGAGATAATATTTAACATCCAGAATCTGCTGGAGGGCTGAGGGTGCAGAATCAAGCCAAAACTGAGTACACAACAGCTCTGTTTTCATAGAATAATAGATAAACAATATATAAACAATATAAGCTAATAACAATGTAAGTCCATATAGAACTAGGCTGAGAATGTGCAACTAACTATTCTCCATCATGAAGATGTGCTATCCTGTTAATTCTTAGCTCACTGAGAAGAAAGCGAGCTGCCTCAGTAACCTCCAGGTTTACTGCCACATCTAGCACGTTGGCAAGTACTCTAGGAAGGTTGGAAATAAGGAACCCTGCAATCTCTGTGGGAAGGCTGTCAGCAGGACATCACTATCCAAAGCCACAAATCCAAAACATTTTAAGGGTCTTTGCACCCACTTACTCCTCTATGTTTACAAACCCTTATGCACAACCTGTTCACATTTTGGTCCAATTCAGTATAGCCATTATAGTTACAAAGTATTATCTTCTGCCACAGTGATGTTTTCCAAAACTTTGGAGGTGGTAATATAGTTGGCCTTTTCCATGCACTTCCCTGGACTGCTCTTACTTGTTATTTGGGATTGAGATTAATTGCTGGGGTTTTTTTTAATCACCCTTAGACATGTGTTTTAAACTCAGATCAATGTAATTCATAACAACCATCCTGATTTCAGGATGGGTATAAGATTTGTTATGTAAGTTATTTGCTCCAGTACTCATGGAATCATAGGATTTCTGAGCTGGGATGGATCTTCAATATAATCCGATCTAACCATTTATAAGAAGCAAAGGCAAGGAGCCAGGTATAACCAGATAGACTCGCTCAATGTCACACTACTACATGGTGTTAGGAGAAGCAGGATCTGATTTTCCCAATTCTCTTTCTGATACTTTTCTGCTCATTAGCTTTCCCTTCTTATTATTACACAATAAGAATAAGAAAAATGGTTCGTATTTTCATAGTGCTTCATGGTTTAAATCACCATCAAGTTGTTTTGTCCTGTTCATAGTAAGAGTAATAATTATTAATATTACAAATAGCACTTGTTGGCTACTTACTGATTTTTTTTAAAAAATTTTTAAAATTTGCAAAGTGCTTTTGCACGACTTTATATTAACTCTCCCAATGGTCCTATGAACTTTTCTTTTCACTATTTTGTAGATCAGGAATGTAGGCTGAAGGAACTTAGGTAACTTGCCCAAAGCCACACAGCCACGCAATGGAGCCATTGAGCATCATCCTAATTGCCTGATGCCAGAGCCCCCTCCAACAGGCTCTGACCGCCCACTGTGCTTCCCTCACAAATGTCCTGGGAGCAGACAAAGAAGCTATTATGTAACATTCTTTAAAACCATGCTTTGCTTGTAGTTTTAAGCTTAATTTTATAGGAATTTTACAGTCACTCAGGCCTAGAAAATAGATTAATTCCCTGAAAGGGAGAATCTAAAGCCTCCCTGATACCTGCAGTGAAGGGACAAAAGCAGAAAGAGACGCTAACACATAATTAGGGGCTACTACCTTATTCCGTATAGCCATAAGGTGAAGTGCATTGATTTCATTTAAATTCAAAGTATATTGTATAAGGTTAAAACTGTGATTATGTAAAGCAGTCACATTCACAATATGATTTTAACGAAACCATGTTCTGACTTGGTTGCCTGGTTACCAGTCGTTACTTAAGCAGGTACCAGCAGGCATTTGGGCTAAATTTCTGGCACCCAGATGGAGCAGTTTGGAAGCAGTGGTAACCTGGGCCATGGCTTCAGCAGCATCCAGGAGTAACCACCAGTATTTGATGCAAAAAACTATTTTCCACTTTGAACCATCCTTACAGAGCCAGTTAATAAATTCCCAAAAATTTCTGGCAATATTATGATGTCTTTCCAGCTCCCACCTCCCCCAGAGAGAACAAATTTTTCCCTTCCATATGTTTCCCCCACGACGGACTTTGTATAAACCTGTATTAGCTCACTGGTCTAATTTCAGGTAGCATCCTCTCTTTCTCTATCCCCACAGCAAAACCGTGAGCTCACAGGTGATTTTGAGAGTTGCTTAGTAAAGAGAAAGGAATTTGGGCTTTGGAGCCAGGTGGGCCCACACATTCAATTCCTAGCTTATCTCTACACTCATTGTGATCCTGATGAAGTTATTAGGCTTCTCTGAACTTCCATTTCTTCATCTGTAAAACAGGACTAGGAATTCCCACCTGGGAGTAAAGCAAGTCCCTGGCAGCACTCGGTAAATAGCAACAGTTATTGAAAAGACAGTCACTGCCCTTGAGCCTCGTGCTGTCTAGTGCAGCAAGGCTCACATGAATGGGCATCTAAATGCTTGAGATTTGGTTGGTGATGGAGGGCTGCAAAGCAGCCTGTGGGAGCTCAGAGGAAGGAGCATCATTTTGAGAGGACCTCACAAAAGTATTAAGGAAAATGAGCCCGCCAGAGGGCA